TGTCTGTTGGCCATTCAAGTATCTTCCTCTGTGAAAATTCTTTCCATGTCTTTTTCCCATTCTGTAATTGGATTACCAGACTTTTTCTTGTGGAGCCCAGGATTATTCTATAAACTTTTGTTATGAGACTCTTGTCTGAGAAGTTATTGTCAAATATTTGTTTGCAATCCATAGGAAGGACATAGGTTTTGACACAGTATGATCATAGGATTTAGTCATATACTATAAAATAATTTTGCTAAAATATATAGGTTTTTCTTAGGCATTATTCAGTATTATTATGACTGTATAAGATTAATGGACACAGTGATCCTTTAACACAATCTATGAGTTAGTCTAATTTTATTTCCCTTTTACAGATGAGAAAACAGTGAGGTGAAGGAACATGCCCATAGTTTCATAGTTGGTGAATGACAGGGCTGAGGAACCCAGGGAGCCTGACTCAGGAATTCATGCTCTACCCTTAGGCTAAACTGATGTGTCCATAGCTCTAGGTAGCAAGTTTACAGATATGTACCACAAAGTATAAGAGGTACTGAGTTTTTTATTTATTTGTGCTTTGTCTATCAACTCACTCAGTAGCTATATATTGAATGTCCTCTTTGTGACAAACATTATACTAGGTGCTGGTTATATAGTGCTAAACAAAACAAGCCTGGTCCCTGTCTCTAATAATTATAGTATAGTGGAGCAGGATGACACATAACCACCCTGAAAAAAAAATTGTTCAAAGAAATTATCTAGAATCAGTAGGATCCGCAAGTAAGAAGAACATTATACTAGCCAATTGGCAGCATTGCGATAGATGAAGAAGAGATTGAGATTGTTAATGATTTCAGCTTACTTGGTTCCAAAATCAACTTTCTTGGCACCAGCAGACAGGAAATCAAAAAACAAATTGCATTAGGGAAATCTGTTGTCAAGGACCTCTCCAGAGTGCTAAAGAGCGACAGTGTCAGTCTAGAGACTAAGGTGCGCCTGATCCAGGCCATGGTCTTCATAATTACTTGCTATGTATCAGAGACCTGGACAATGACCAAAGAGGACAGAAGAATTGATACCTTTGAGTTGTGGTGCCGGCAAAGAGTATTGAGCCATACCCATCGACTGCCTAGAAAAAGAACAGACCTATCCTGGAAAGGGTGAAGCCAAGTTGTTCCATGGAGGCAAGGATTCTGAGGCTCTGTCTTACATACTTTGGGCATGTTGTCAGGAGAAGGACATCATGCTTGGAAGGGTGGAGGGACAGTGCAGTGAGGAATACTTAGATGAGATGGATTGATACAGTAACTGGGATAATGAGGGTAGACGTGTCAGAGACAGTGAGATTGGCTCAGCATAGAGCAGGGTTAAGAGCTATTGTGCATAGGGTCACTATGAGTGGTGGTCAACTCAACGGCACATAACAACAAGAAGCTTGGAAATAAATGTTTGTTACTGCAGTTTGTCATTGCTTGACAAGTAGGTCTCAAACACTGAAACACAGTTTCTCATTTGTTTTTCAGTTATGTGTTTAATTAGTAATACAGAAGAACAGGTAGCATGAAGTGTTAGAATTTATACTTACCTGCATTAATTGTTGACACAGTAGAACATATGTGAGATAGGTCAGTATCCCTATCTTGAAAGTGACTAAAACTGGTTAGACAAAGTCATTAATCTCCTCTCTCTGGGTAACATAAAAGATTATTTATTAAATAAGTGATTTGTTCTAATAATTTAGGTGTGCTGGGGCCTAGGCATTTAGTTACTCAAGTGTTCTTTCTTGACTGGGACTGTATTAACTCTTGACCAGGAAGACCTCATGATCTTTGCTATTTGATACATGTAATCTCCAGAATTTTGTAATTTTGTAAAAATTCTCCCTCTCAGGAAGCATTTTCTAGGGATTGTTAGAATTTTATCACTTTGCTTCCTGCACTGTCTTGACTAGATTAGTCTTGTTTTCTGAGAGTATCTTTGTTTTCTGTTTTGTTTGTTTTCTTTCAACAACTCCTTTTCTATATTCTTTATTTTGTACTTAACCTTTTATTCAGAAAACTATTGGTCATTTTGTGCCCCTTTGCAAGGCATTTAAGATTTATTGTTGTTATATGCCATCAAATCAGAACTGACTCATAGCAGACCCTCCAGTGAGTTTTCAGAGGCTATACATTGTATAGATGGAGATTGCCCAACTTTCGCTTGAGAAGCAGCTGGTAGATTCAAACTGCCTGCTTTTGAATTGGCAGCGCAGTTCTTTACAAATAGGCCACCAGAACACCCTAGATATCATAGACAGTCTCTGTCCTCTTGGATTTCACTGTTTAGTGGGGCTGACACATGATGGCATCATCCATAGTTTTTTGTGCTGCTAACCAAGAAGTTTTACATAACCAGAGGTTCAGACCCCCCAGCTGCTATGTAGGAGAGAGATGGACAGTCTCCTCCTGGTAAGATTTACAACTTTGGAAACCTGCAGGAGAGTCACTGTGAGTCAGAAGGAGCTCTATGATAGTGAGTTCCAGTCTTGTTTGGTTTTGGCTTTGTTCCTTTGACAGACATAGAGATAAATGGTGTTGTGAAAAGTGCAGAAACCTTAAATGAAACATATGGTGAGCAGATATGATGAGCATTGTTCTGTGGATTTTTTGTTTGTTCTTATTTAGAGAATACTTTTTTAGTTTCTGTAATCAAACCCATCCAAAGAAGACCTTCCACACTTAACACGTTGCGGCAAATGTGTTTCTAATCACAGTTGTCAATTTAAAAAGTGTGCGGCACCGTGTTAATACAGTGTATTATCCCTTACAAATGGGGGAAAAATTAAGTTTGACATTTCTAGACCACTATGGCTGTTAATTTCAGTTCAGTACAACTCAACATGAAACAACTGGGGTACTTTTTCCAAAGCTGACAGCATAGCTAAAGTTTCAAAACATTCAGATTATGTGTATATGCATGTATATATATTTATATAGAAAGACCAGTCACAATGTGTTCTGCATTAATAGCAGCAACAACTTTTCCAGGTTCTGCAGTCATCAAAACAGAATTATTAGGGACATCCAGCACACTCTATTAAAAAAAAAAGAAGTACAAAACAAACCCTCAGAAAACAGCCAAGTTCTGTTCCTCTTGTGGTACTGAGCATTGTTTTTAGGTCAGAAGCACAGAAAGGTGACTGCTTTAGGAGTTTGGTTTCGGTTTTCTGACCCTGTTCCCTTTCTTTCTGCCCCTTTTGCTTGCTTTTACTTCTTTTGTGTGCTTTTAGGTATCTCCAGGCCAACAGCTCTACTTGTGTGCCTTTCTGGGATGAATGGCAGCACACTCTGGTCCAGTCCCCTCCCAGAGGAGGCCCGAGATGTTACGTGCTTGGCTCTGATGCCAGGAAGCTTGGCTGCAACCATCTGTCTTGTAACAGGGACCCATAAAATGCTCAGTGCATTCAATGCAACATCAGGTAAAGGTCATCTACCAGGAGAGATCTCTGCTCCAATGAGCTATAATCTTGGATTGGATTCTACATGGCAGAGAGTCTGATTGACTGTATAGAAGCTAGATATTAAATAATAGAAAGTGTTTTGATAGACTGAGTAAATAGATCCATGATCCAACATATTTGGAGATAAGATAGCGCTCAACAGAGAACTGAAACAGAAACTACCCTGAGACCTTTGGTTTGTAATCTTTCAACTGTATGATAATGTACAAATACAGCTGAGCTTTGTCTTCAGACTTCATATACTTAGAGTCCAACAAAGATGTGTTGAAGCATGTTGATTTGTTTCTTGATAATGTTACATCCCTGAAAACTGTATGCCAAAAGGAATGTGCAGAAGGAACAAGTAGGATAAAAGCCCTTTATGGAATCATAAATATACTGCTAAGATGCTTAGATGCTTGTTACTAAGCAGATAGCACCTTGATGCATGGACTACAGTAAAATGGAATAATTAATAACTTGTTTATATTTGAAATCACAGTTCAGTTGGCTGTTTTTGAAGGAAAGTTTTTGACTGTGAGTTGATGCTAGAACTGAAGCTGTCTTGAAAACCTTGTACAACTTCTCTACTTACTTCGTTGAATACATGCTAGAAGGGCTGAGAGTTGGTCTTCTGGCTGACTGCCCTTGGATGGCGACTTAACAGTTTTAATCATTTCTAACAGATCAGTTTCCCTGATATAGATAAATAGATTTTTCTTTTCTTGGAGAGACTAACACTTTTATCTGAGCTAAAAATGAGGATTTTAGGTCATAGTTCCTGATTCCTTTGTCTCCAATAACATGAAATGAAAGGAAAAAACTAAGCTCTTTATTCCATGGAGTTTCTTTTTCTTGGACTAAAGTCAGAAAGCCCTAACTTATCAGCCTGTGTGTCTTTCCCTAGGGAAAGCCATTTGGACTTTAAACCCAAAGCACCTGTCCAATGGGACGCTGGCTGCCCCGGTTGTGGTACTCCCAGATTTGGATGACGATGGCATTCGAGATCTTCTGATTCTGGCTATTGGGGACCCGCAGGTATGATCTATACAGAGTGATGGGGTTTTTTTCCCCCTTACAGGGAATATTTCACTTTCAGTTATCTCAGTTCCTAGAGTTACTGTTACAAAGCTGTTGAAATTTTCCTTTTACTAGGATTTAACTTTAAATACATTGTGTTTGTAAGATTCAGTGAATAAATTCTCCTTATGAGCTCCCTTTTCCTGGAAGTCACATTGCGAATCCATTAGTGGTGGGATAATGAATTTTAACCCAGATAGATCCATGTTTAAATGTTGCTTCTACCGCTTTATAGTCTTGGCAAATCATATACTTTATCCACCCTCAGCTTTCTTTGTATGTGAAATGGGAATGGTGGTATCTACTTGGTGTATTGTTAGAAAGAGTTATTGTTGTATACCACTAAGTCAGAACTAACCCATAGCTGGCCCTCTGGCAGGTTTTCAGAGGCAGTTAATTGCATGGGAGGAGGTTGTCTGTCCTTCTCCTGAGAAGCAGCTGGTGGATTTGAACCATGTACATTCAAGACTCCAGCTCAACTTCTTGCCCCTAGGCCATTAGAGCTCCCTGATATATTCACAGTACTTAGGATAATACCTGTTTTCTACCATGTTAATCAGCTGTGAAAACCAGGCCAGATGCTGACTGTGGAACAGACCACCAACCACTCATATTCAAGTTCAAGCTGAAGCAGAAGAAAATAAAATCAAATCCAAAGGAACCAAAATTTGACCCTAAGTCCATCCCACTTGAATTTCAATAGCATCTCAGGAACAGGTTTGAGGTCTTGAACACTAATGAGCGAAGACCAAATAAGCTGTGGGAGAATATCAAGACTATCATCCATGAAGAATGCAAAAGATTATTACAAAGCGAGAAGAGGATGTTAGATGAGCCTCTGAATATTGTATTAGAGTGCCAAGAAACCAAAGCTAAAGAAAGAAATAAAGAAATTAAAGAGCTGGACAGAAAATTTCAAAGGGCAGCTTGGGATGGCAAAGCACGGTATTATAATGAAATATGCAATGAGTTGGAGTCAGAAAATCAAAAGGTCCGAACTCGCTCAGCATTTTTTAAGCTAAAGGAATTGAAAAATAAATTCAAGCCATGAGTGGCAATACTTAAGGATGCTTTGGGCAGAATTTGAAATGATCCAGAAAGCATTAAAAGAAGATGGAAGGAGTATACTGAGTCACTGTACCAGAAGGAATTGGCTGACACAGAAAAATTTCATGAAACAATGTATGAGCAGGAGCCTGTGGTGATGAAGGAGGAAGTTCAAGCTGCTCTGAAAGAATTAGCAAAAAACAAGGCTCTAGGATTTGACAGCATACCATGTTTGTTTCAGCAAACAGATGCTGTCCTGGATATGCTCACTAGGTTGTGCCAAGAAATCTGGAGGACAGCCACCTGGCCAGCTGACTGGAAGAGATGGATATTTGTTTCCATTCCAAAGAAATGTAACCCAACAGAGTGCGGAAGTTATCGAACAGTATCATTAATATCACATGCAAGCACGATTCTGCTGAAAATTATCCAAAAATGACTGGAGCAACACGTC